TATATTTTTAAAGACAGTTTTCTATTAACTTAACAAAAAAAAACAAAAACATTTGTATTTTTTTTTTTTTTTTGTTTGTTTGTTTTTTTTTAAGAACTGTGATAAAGGAAAGAATTCAACTTTAGCCAAAATGAAGAGGATTTAAAAAAAAAAAAAAAAAAATTGACTGTATTCTTACTTTACCAGTAAACAAATAGATATGTGAAAATGACAGTCATTGCTGTCTTTGTTCATTTTGATTTAGAAACCAATTCACTTCTGAAATTAGACATCACCAATTAAATCAAGGGAAAATAATTCAAATCTTGACACAATGGGTAGGCATTTTCTGTGTAGCATTACAAACTATATAATGATGCTTCCATAAATGAATTTACTTTGATAAATTACTCTTCAAATTACAACTGAGTTATTAGAATAACTTTAAAAATTAAACTACCTAATTTGAGAAAAAAAGTCTTGCTTTTTGATGCAAAATAAACTGAAGAAAAGTTTTAATACAAAAGCTTATGTTTAAATAAGGTTCTAAATAGGAATTGGGGGGGGGGGGACAATTGTAACAGTAGTAGCAGTTTTCTTTATATATATCCCCCACCACCAAGTGCTAATTCATGAGTCAGATGTCCTAGCCCAAAATATTAAAAAAATAAAATTTAGATCCCACCAATGATAATTTCCAATAAAATCAAGCCAAATATTTCATAAACCAAGATTCAGGCTGATTGGGACAAATATTTAGTGCTTTTAGTCATTGTCTATAAATTCAAACATTTATACATCAATAGATGGACTGCAAAAAAAAAAAAATCAACTCTTCATATTACAAGAAGCACTTTAGTTTTAGTTTGTTAAGATTTTTAAACCTAACATTAATTTATGTTAAAACTCAAATACTTTGCTCTTAAATGTAAGCAAAAGCAATATGTAATAAAATAAAAATGTTTGGGTGCGTGCAAAAATTATTGAATGGAATTGAAGCAAGGAACTTTATAAAGAAAAAAAATTAAATACTTCTATAACAAAAGAACTATTTTTTTTTTTTTTTTTCAAGCCAACTGCCAAACTCCAATACTGGCTTTGTATATATTTTTTTTTTGTCTTAAGTATTGTGTATTTACAACATTGTATAGCATATATTCATGACAGTCTTAGAATTTCCAAATTGTTTAATCAAACAAGAGTAGTAAATATGTACTATTTAAATCTAAGCCAGCAATTGTATTGATACCAAGTTGTCTGGTTAATTAAAAGTTTACAATTTTAATGGCTAAATCCCATCTCTCATCCAGTTGATCAAGCAATTTAATTTCTTGGTTATCTTCATTTTCTCTTTGGTATTGATTATGATGAATGTTCAGAATAGACATCTTTATGGTTAAATACTAATGAATAAGAGGAATCATTTTCAAAAGCCACAACAAAAATAGGCATAATATTTATTAAAAATAATCTGGGTTTAATAAAACTATTTTCATTCCTGATCCAGTCAGAACCTAAAATTTATAGGCACAGTTCAGCTTAGAATGAAAGAGTATTTTAAATATACACAACCTAGATATATGTGTATAAAAACAGAGCCATATATATATAAATAGAAATGTTGGCTTTAGCTGATTAATGGATTTTTAATTTTTTTTCTTTTTTTACACAAGGTCAAATCAGTAATACTGATAAAAAATTGAAACCTTTTAAAGTTAGTTACAAAAAAAAATGTCAGTATTCTGGTTGCAGAACAGGATTCATTGATAAACATTTTTCAATGCCTTCACTACAACATGCTTGCAGACGAGTTGGAAAATCAAGGGCAGACAATTCGTAATAAAAATCTTTGCTTATAACCAAAGGCAGATAACTCGCAATACGAACACCCTCATACACCCTATCTTTCACTCTGGGAGAAATTCAGCATTGAAATATTTGAGCAGTTTTTTTTCTTTCTTCACAAACATCGCTGATGTCTAACAAATACAACACATTACTACTTACTACTATTATTCTTATTTTGCTTTTAGCATTTATTTACAGTATTTCATTACATTTTTTTTTTTAATATGCATCATTCAGTTATGAATAATGTATTCTCACTTGAACACCATCCTCCTTCTACTCTGCATCCAGTAACCAAGCATATGAGAATGGGGTAGATTTGATCTGAAGTATATATTAAAAAAAAAACAAAAAAAAACAAACATTAATATACTCCTTGAGTGCACACATTAACTTATTTTGTGCTTCTTCCAGATTTTCATGATAAACCTTTCCTGGTATAATAATAAAAAAAAGGTAGCACTCTTTTTCCACATCCTCACCAAAAGTGTTTTCTGCCTCAATGATTTACAGAACACACTTTTAAAAAAATGGGTTCAATGACTAGATGAAAAAAAATTATTTCAATTAAAAATATTTCTGATAAAATAGTGAATAAGGAAAAAATAATTGAGCAAACATTTTGTTTTTGTTTCTTTAATTATTTACTATATTTCAATTTAATTCCTTATAATACATAATTAGTAAATATTAAATGTAAACGTCTTGCACTGCACACCTTAAAGCTGAACAGCTCCATTTTCCTCAAAAGTTTACAGTGAGTCATTGGCTCATAATATAAAGTTTTTATTCAGTATCAAAACACAGTTTCAAGAGAGTATTTTTTTTTGGGGGGGGGAAGAGGTCATAGCTGCTTATACTCTCTCCTTTGCTTCTTCCTTGTTAGAAATAATATTTTATTTATTTATTTATTTTTTTAAATTTTGACAAATAATCAAATGGTAGGCTTTTTGAAATGTACAGTCAATCTTAGCTTTTTCAATATGACTCATTCGGCAAATCCAGCAACATTGACTGTACGTACAAATAGCATCAATTCTTAACTATTCGAACTGGATGTTTGAGGAGTAAGGGACATAACTCCGGTGTCAAATCAACCAAGCACAAATGGTTATTTCATTATTGTACATGCAATGAAATGATCAGGTTCATGTGAAATGATTCTATTTCAAGGTATTTTTCTATAAACTAGTAAATTACTTGGCAAATAACATTTGTAATAATGAGGATGACTAAATTTCTACTGATTTGTTGTTCTTTGCTCTGTTGTAGTTAGGAGTGTGGGGGGGGAATTAGCTGAACAGAATTTGGCTTCCCCCATGCAAAACGGGGAACCATTTTCATCACTATAAAAAAGACGCTGTCTATGTCTTCAGCCACACAACAAAGACACCCAAATATGGTTACAATTGGTGATTACTGTTAAAGATTATAACTTGTCATTAAAAAAAAAAAAAAAATTTCTCCTCCTTTTCTTCATTCCTCTCAAAAAGCAACATTCAAATGTCTAAATACTTACATCAATTTGGTATTGTGAAATTTACAAGTATTAGACCAACTAGTTGTGAGTAGGGAAGGAGGGGCCTATTATTTCCCCATGCCTTTTTAATTTGGTTGCAAATTTGTCCCACCTACCCCACCCCTTGGCGAGTTGTGACAAACTTCACCTAAATGACACCGGCATTTGAACCTTAAATCTTCAGTTCAATGCTCTAACCAGCAAGGCATTCACAGCCTTGAATATAATTTAATTTGGTCCTGTAGCATTAATTGCTTTAAATTAGTCAAAATGTCAGGATAAAAAAATAAAAAATAATCTAACATTCCAGAAGAATTCAAACAATTTTAAAGATTTAAGAACATTTATGACTGAAAATAAAGATATATATATATATATATTGTAGTTGAGAGGAGAGAAATATACCAGCAATTTGGTTCAAACATACGTCACGTATTAGACTAAATGAAAATTAAATTTCATAATATTTTCACTTGGTAATGACTGCTTTTCTGTAATTGGCTTTGTATGTTGTTTAAAAAGCCTCAGTCATTTTCTTCTGAATGTATATTCCAGTCCACAATGATGGATCCCAAATATAAAAACAAAAAGGTCAACTGATATGTTATATGATTCTAAATGGACATCTAAAGATTAATGTTACTTGTTACAATATGAATTTCACCTAATCTTCAGATTATCCAACCAAATGCCTAAATGTTCTTCCTAAGAAAATTATCGAAACAAAACCTCTATAACATTGTTTTCTTTAAAAGTTACTTCTCACAAAGGAGATATACATCTTTATTCTCTTCTCTCAGCTAATAGACTTTTTCCTTTCCAATTTAACACATCCTTGAAGTAAAAATCAACGAATTACAAAACAAACTGATGAAAATTGTCTGCAAATAAATAAAATCTGGGTGCAGTAAAGGTAAAAAAAAAAAAAAAAAAAAAAAAAAAAAAAAAATTGTTTTTCTTTAAGATCAAAAGATCAGTTCATATCGATTAAATTCAAGGATGATTTCTTGGAATAAAAAAAAAAAAAAAATCACAAAAGAATGAAACACTACCTCAAGTAGACTTTTCTAAATGTTTCAAATTGAATTTTAAAGTGGACCATTTAGAAATAGGTTTGTCTGTGTAGCATTTTTACCACCAAGATGGATCAATCAGATTGACAATTTGATGAAGAGAAATTACCCCGTTTGATTTTAAATAACCAAGGATGGTCTCACCATTAAATTAAGTCTTGTTATCATTCAAATAAGAATCATTTGATCTTGAGGAAAATTTCTTATTGATGAATACTGATAAGATTTTAACAAAAATAAAATTCTAAAAATTAAAGTTTTTTCTTTTTTCTTTTCTTAAAAAAAAAAAAAAAAAAAAAAAAAAATACATATTTGTTCCTTTTTTTGCTTTTTCACTAAATGCATAATTTGAGTTCTGTGTTCATTGTTTGTTGGCTTTAGATGAACTGGAACTCAACAGGGAGATGAAAGCTTTACAGAAAAAGTTTGTCTTGCAAATATAAAATTGTTTCGTGATTTGAAAAGTGATGATCATCTTTGGTTAAATAGCTGGCAGTTTTAAAAAAACCAGCAATTACTTGTAGACTGTTATCCACAAAGCTGGACAGCGCTTAGCTGGACAGGCAGTCAAGCTGGCCTTGTTAAAAATGGTCAACCAATACTGACACACTGTTTTTGCCGACTTTTCCATGGGCAACTCCATCAATGCCAGCAAGAGTCATGTTCTGCCATTGAGTTGGATGACCTGTGGGAAAAGAAAAAGAGAAATAAGATATTGGTAGAGAAGAATTATTCAAATAATCATTTAGAATGTCATCTTTATCTTATACTTATTATAAAACGCATATTGTGTGTGTGTGTCTGTAACGTTTATATATTGGATCGGATTTCCTACATTTTTAGCTGATTTCAACAAAACTTCACAGGACTACATAAAATTACCTCGTGGTGGTTGTAACGGCGCCGAAAATGGTAAAAACACAATTGTTTTTTAACAAAATCAATTTGAAAACACAATTAAGTAAGACATCATGAGAATGAAAGGGGGACAACTCACATCGGGTTAAAAAACCCAGGTTGTTTGTGTGTGTGTGTGTGTGTGTGTGTGCTCCTTTATATATGGGATCGGATTTCTTACATTTTTCAGCCGATAAAACAAACATCCACTTTTTTTTGGCAGGTAGTGTTTCTTATTGTCTTGCACACTTTTTTCTTTATTTATACATTCAGAATGCTTTAAAAAATTCCATTTACAAGACAATTGTTTATAATAAAATTCTAATTCTATTCAATCGGGGACTCATCATAACGATTGAAAACAATATTTTGTTTTGAGTTTGGGTTTGACCAATTCGTAAAAAAAAAAAAAAAAAAACTAAGACATGCGTGTCCGTCAACCTAAACAACAATCTAACGATCTCTACTGATTGTACGAATCGAAAAATCGGATAATTCTTTATCTTTAGGGAAAGATAATTCTACGTACTTTAGGGCCGTTTTTACAATTCCCTTTGCAATTTGTTACAATGCAGATCAATAAGGTATTGGTTCTATTTGAAATTAATTCAATATTTAAAAGAAAGTATTAAGAAATAATTTAAAAATGTCGACATAAGAAATCTGATAGATAAAAAACAACAATATTTCGAAGATGATAATTATTAAGGAAAGAACACAGTACTTGTAATAAATTAGTAAACCCAAATAAAGTTAATATTTTTTGTATTAGAAACAACGAGTGGAAAATATATTCAAATCAGAATTCTAATTATGAATCACCACAAGCAAAATATGCAATTTTTTTTACTGTATTCAATAAGTAAAAATCATAAATTGTAAAAGATTACAGAGAAAGGCTACCTACATTTTTCAACCAATTTCAACAAAACTTCACTTTTTTTTGGCAGGTAGTGTTTCTTATTGTCTTGCACATTTTTTTCTTTATTTTTACATTCAGAATGCTTTAAAAATTCCATTTACAAGAAAATTGTTTATAATGAAATTCTATTCAATCGATAGACTCATAACGATTGTAAACAATGTTTTTGTTTGAATTTGGGTTTGACCAATTCAAAAAAAAAAAAAAAAACTAATTAAGACATGCGTGTCCATCAACCTTAAACAATAATCTTTGTCAATTTTATTTTTCAGTCTTTATGATGGTCGATACTTGATCTATCTCTTACTGTTACATCCCCGGGCAACGCCGGCTCTACTGCTAATAATATATTAATTATGACATTTTTTATTCTCTGCCAATGTGGCACTAATAAAGAGAGTAAAATACAGTGCACCAAAAAAATGTATACACACTTCAGGAAAGAAAATCTTGTCTAGGTATTGTAACACTAAATTCATTTAGACATCACAAGATTAATACTAGTTACCTTTGGATTTTACTATCACAAGAGATGCTCAAAATGGTGGCCTTTAGCTTCTAGACATTTATTAGTATGGCAGACTACTGCTTGGGCAACATTGGCCAAAGTGTCCAGTGGGATTGTTGCATATGCATTTTCAATTTCATGTCTAAGGGACAACAATGTAATGCCATCTGGCATGAAAATATTGTGTTGTTGCAATTTGATAAAACTATGAAAGACAAATTTTTCCTTTCCTGAAGTGTGTGAATATTTTTTGGCAGACTATATATATATATATATATATATATATATGTGCATGCTTAATGCACTAAGTGTAGAGAATAAAATGTTTAACTTGTTTAAATATTTATTCCTAAATGAACAATGATACAGTATTTTTCCAAATCAAAGAAAAATTATCAAAAATATAAAATTTATAAATTCATTTTCTTCCATTGTAGCATTTGTAAATTATGCACTATTTTTGTATGAAAAATTCAAATTAACCAAAATGAAATGATGCTCTTAATGTGTCAGCCAGAATTCAACATTTTCTATCATTAAAACAAATCTTTTGTTTATGATCAACTAGCTCAAAATACGTTTACAGTATATTGCTACAATACTTCACGCAATCAAACATGAAATGCAAATGAAAATGGCATTATATATATATATTACATACACACTTGAAAAACAAAGTTTTAGCACATTTTTAAAACTAATGATAATTATTCAAAGACAGTTCGTTTTTTTAGTTAAAAAAAAAAAAAAAAAAATTGATACAGATACAAAGGAAATTTTTGGAGGTGGATGTACATTAAATTTGATGAGCTACTTATTGCATTGGCAATTAAAGAAGACTTATTTTTTATTTTGTAATAACTATAGTTATTACAGCTCACTCTACTTTTGTTTGTTAAATAAATATAAATAAACTTTAGGTCATGTAAGATAGCAAACATATTCAAAATATTGATATCAATTTGAACACTGAAAATCATTTGCTTAACTTTTCTTCTCTTTAAGTTAAATGTAAGAAGAACAATATGAGCCAAATTAGCATTTAATTTTAAAAATTCTCCATATAAAAAGGGAAATAATCGTGTTTGTCTTCTTACAATGACCTGTTGTACAAGCACATATTTCTTCATTTGTACTTAACTTATTCTATTGAATAGAGTATCCTAAATTCTATGCTAAAAAATTATACTCAGATTAGGTAACACTGATGAGCTAGGCAGCTCTGTGTGTGTGTGTGTGTGTGTGTGTATATATATATATATATATACACATACACACACACACACACACTTGATATCAACGTTGACATGGACCTTCATACTTAAGACAGCAAAAGTATAGACTTGTTGGAACTTCATATAAATATTGACAATTTTTATACACGCTAGAACCAAACATCTGTTATTTTACATGTACACAAGGTGATATCACTCAGTGTGTGTGTGTGTGTGTGTGTATATATATATATATATATATATATATATATATATATATATATATATAGGTTGAGTCTGTAGTAACTTCCTTTTTTTTGAGAACCAATTGTAATATCAATTCTATCATCCTAACTACTAATCACATGTGGCAGTTAAAAATAAATTTGGGCTACACTAACATAACTTGGTTTTTGTACATCAGTGGCAGTGAACACAGTGGATGAAAGGAAAAAAATATTGTTCTTCTACATAACAATGTAAGGCTGCATACAAGAATAACACAGGGAAATGTTTTGAAACTCTATTGGTCTGTTTTACTCCACTAACCATATTCACCTGACTTTGTACCAACTAGTTATTACATCTTTTGTCCACTGTAAAATGCTTTGATGGGGACAAAACTTACTCTAAAGAAGCATGATTCAAGCGTTCAGCAAAAAATCTTTTCATATCAAAACCTGCAAAATTACTAATTGGTAACAACTCATTGAAAACAATGGTGAATATATAATTGAATAAAATTTAAATTTATTTTATTTTTTAAAGAAGATGTCAAAAATCCTATTAATTTTTGGTGCAGGCAGGTCTACCTTAAAAAAAAAAAAAAATAGGAAAGACACATAGAATGCCCATGTAAAAATTGGTATTTGTGAAAAAGATGCTCTTTGCAACAAAGCAGAAGCGTAGTTAACAATAGTAGTTGCTTTATGTTTATAAGGAGCCTTTGTTAATAGACAATCACAAATCTCCCGAGCAACCAAGAGTAGTGCTTCCACCTGCTATGGGAAGAGTTCATTGCTAGTAACTTATTTTCCACAAATAAACAAAAATGACTCAATGAGCTAAGGAATTTTATATTTTTTTATATTTTACAATTTTGCTTTTCTCAGACACACATTAAAATTTCAACTCAAAAGAAAATTATACAGAATACTAAAGAAAAAGGTACATAAAATCATGCAAAAGTTTTTTGGCTCTGGTTTCTCATGACATTATTGTTTTATTTCTTTATATTTAATCTCATAAATGTAATTGAACTGGTGCGAATAAGAAAGGATCTTTTAAGCTTAGACCTAGTATGGTTGGTAGTTTTGTAAACATCTTCGAGTTGAGACTGAGTGCAAATTCTTCCTACCTGTTGGGGAATCACTTGACTTGAGGGCAAAAGACCAGCTGTCAGGATTAACAGATGCACAATGAGGAAGACGTAATTCAACTGGCTGCTGAAACTTCAGCCCATGTGGGCCACACATAACAAGAGGGCTAAGCAGAGTTTCACCTGAAAATTAAGTTTTATTCATTAAATTATCCACAGGAGGCACTACTTTCAATTAATCTAATATGAAAAGGACTTAACAAATAATAAAGAAATCATATCACAAAATAAATCTGGTCAGTCAACAAACTTTTGACATTTTCATGAATTATATTATTTGCCGAGCAGCTGGAACCATGGAAATACCACATTCTGTTCCACTCTCCAAAACTGGAAAGTCTACTTCCAAATTTTTGGAACCAAATTCTTACTGTGAATTTATTAATAGTGTTGTCTTTACACACAGTTTTAGTTTCATTTTGGCCTGGCTTCATACAAATATAAAATGAAAGAAATTAAATAAAGTTCTCCATACTTGAAATACTTTAATACCGGAAAATGAGAACAAAAAAAACCCGCTATTCAAAAATCTGGTTGTCATAAAGAAACATTATTATACCTTTATTAGTTCCAGATCAAATTTTTTTTTTTTTATCAAATAGCAATTTTGAATCATAGAATTAAAAACTTCAAAAGCCCAACAGAAGTTTATGCTAATCAAAATTTCAATATATTTTATTAATGCTACCAAAATCTTGACAACTTCTCAGTAATCTCACAAAGGTCAGGATTCAAGATTTTCCTTTAAGGGATTTCCTTTGCCCATCAACAAAAGTTCATTCAATTTTATTTGCTTTTGATATAAAATCTTTGCATTTGAATAACATTCTTATAAAGTCTTCAAGTATTTTCTAAGGGGTTACTGAATGTTAAAGAATATATAAAAAAAAAAACACTATTAAGAAGAGAGAACAATAAAAGAACATAAATTAAGACAAAAAAATAATGATTGACATTGATCTTCAAAACTTTAAATGCAAAGTTGACTGGAAAGCAAGAAGCTGGAAGAGAGTTCCACAAGCAAAATGTATGAGAGAAGAAAATATTAACATAGAACTTACAGTTACATCTAGCAATTTCAACAGCAAAATGATGAGACCTAACTGCCAGTCTAGTACTGCACTTAAATTCATAAAGTCTAGGGACCAAAAAGGAAAGTTTATCAGAACAATTACCATGAAAATATTTATAGAAAAGGTACAAGGATGCTGCATTACAGCAGTGGGAAAGTGACAAAAGTTGAGATGCAAGGTTAGGACCAATAACATTGCAAATTCTTCTTTGGATTTTATCAAGAATCTCTAAATATAGAACAGAAGCACCAGACCAGATATGACAGCAATATTGAATGGATGAATAATAGACTTATAAATGTTTAAGACAGATTCTGCCAAGAAAAATTGTCTAGCACAATACAGTGAACTAACTTTCCTAGCAGCAAACCTAGCAATTGATTCAATATAAACTTTCCAATTCATGTCAGTGGAAAATGTTAGCCTGAAAAGGTGCAATGAGTCACACACTTTGCAGTTAGTATCAGCCAAACTGATGAAAGGCAAAAAAGATTCTCTAAGAAGATTAAAAAAGAGCAGTTTTGTTTTGGACATGTTAAAATTAACAAGCCATTTCTTGCTCCAGTTAACAACAGATTGTCATTTTTGAGATCAGCAAACAAATCAGACTTACAATCAAGACACTAGTAAATAGTTGTGTCATCAGCATAGATACTGACTTGAGGAACTGATGACACCAGGAAGGTCATTGATGAAAATTAGGAACAACATAAATCCAAGGATAGTGCCCTGGGGGGGGGGGTGCCTGAATTAATGCAAAAATATCTAGAAGAGTGGCCATTCAAGATAACATTTATTTTGTGATTTGATAAGAAAGATTGAATCAGATCAAAAATTAATCTAGAAATGCCATAATCTTTCAACTTGTGAAGAAGGTTTACATGCCAAACCCTGTCAAACATCTTCAAGATATCCAAAGCAATAACCTGAACTTCACCATATCTATCTAAAGTTTGATAGACTCTTTCAGCAATAACTGATATCAGCAGTTGACCTAGATAAGTGAAAGTCATATTGCTTATTGGAAAGAAGACCATGCAAAATGAGATGCTTAATTTGGGCCTCTAGTACTTTGTAAAAAAGAGGTAGAAAGCTAATAGAAGGATCAGACTGTCTAAGTTCTTAAAGGCTGGAACTACAGAAGAGGATTTCCAACAAGCAGGGAAGCAAGAAACAGCAAGTCATTTATTGTAGAGTTTACAGACAACAGGAGCCAATTCAGGAGCACAATTCTTAAGGACTATTGCAGGGATACCATTAGGTCCACAGGTTTTGTGGGAATCCATTTTAGAGATGATAGCAGAAACCATGGATGGCGTAATATGCATATCACTTAATAGAGACTCTGTTCTAAGTGGAAAGTTAAGCAAAGATATTCCAGATGAGTCAAGAATAGAATTGGAAGACAATTTACAAGTGAAACATTCTACTTTATCAGTAAATGATGATAAGACCTCAAATTGAGTGAAGAGAGGAAAGATAGAAGACTTATTCTTACTTAAAATTATTACAGAGCAGCCAGTAGACACAAAAATAACAAACTTGTTAGATGCTATACTATCTTTCAGTCACTCGTGAAGAAAATTATGAAATAAATGCCAATAACTGCTGGTAACAGAAAGAAGTCTTGTGATTAGGAAGTTCATGTCTAATAGATGATCCAATAGAAATATCAATAGATACTACCACGTGATCCAAATTGCCAAGCAGACACAGTTGAGATGCTCAACAAAAGTCAAGAGAGGAGGTCAGGAACAAATGAAGTAAAGAAACAAGTTGATCAGAATGATTAGGGAAACGAGTAGAGATATCCACATTTTAAGTGTGTTGTAATGGAATGTCCCACACTCCCTATCGCTTAAGCGAACTATATCAGTAGATATATATATATATATAGTAAGCATGGGATATACTGGGTGGACTTGTTTAAGGAATTACTAACCTGCTAACCAATTCCCTGTCTTTCAGTAGTGTATTCTCTTTTACAATAAACTTCTCTTTCTTTCATCTACAACTGTGTTGCTGTTCCTTTCTCTCAAGTACCACCTTTGTCTGTTTGTAACCTTCTTTAATGATACAATAAAGTGAGAGACCAAGAAAACAAAGTCTGAACACTTTAAACATCACTAACATTAGAATGATTAAACCACATGATAAGCATTAAAATAACCAAACATAAACATGTTCACAGATGAATGTAGAGAGAGAGCCATTTCTATTCTGTCAGATATTTTGTCTAATATATACAGTTTTGAGAAGAGGAGCCATAAAGGAAAAAGGGACAAACACGATTTCTCCACAGCTACATCTTGTATGTGTGAGAGAAGGCAAAAGACGAAGAGTTAAAAATGTCGCTTGGTATTTATAATGTTGTATGTCACATGATAGGCTCAAAACACAGACACATTTTTCGGTAGTAAATTAATTTTAACTGTGCAGATGCGGACATAGACAAAAGCATAATATTCACATTGATTGACCAATCAGGAGTCAGAGAAGTATTAAGTTTCTGTGATCTACTTTTTTTTTTTTTTTTTTTACAGATCTTGTTGATTTTGTTACATAGGAAATGTATTGGAATCTTTTTTAACAAATAGAATTAGATCACAAATAAAATATTAAATTGAAGTAGAACACTAAAGTACGATAGAAAAGTTCAGTTTCACAAAATGGTAAGATATCTGGAGAATGCATCATGAGAATGTTTCATTTCATTACAGAAATTAGTATGAAAAGCATGAATATTAAAGAAAGAAAGGCTGAATGGGGAAGTGATTTTTCCTTACTGCTTTACTTGTAACTGTCATGGAGAAGATTATTTTAATTCTGAAGGAGAAAAATATCAAAATGATTATCACTGTCCATTGTCTATGGTAATAGAAACTGTCCAGAAGGTGGCTAAAACATAAGGTGCCCTCAGGATTGCCTATCAGAAGTAAATGCAAGGACACCTATCCATGTATGACATGGTACTTCAAATATCCTGACATTATGTGATTGTGGACCAGAACAGCCTCTACAAAAACAAAAGATACAAAAGAGTTTGGCCTCAACACTACCAGTTGGGATGAACAACCAGAAAACTGACAAATTGAAAAGCAGCAGCTACTGATCAGTCAGGTCACCAAAATCTGAAGACAGTTTAAATAATTATATCAATGGAAAACAGGAACTGGTAGACCACATCATAAGCAGAAATAAATGATAAACCTCTACACCTGTTCAATAAACATGGAAGGAGTACAGGCTGTACTTATATAAATTTATATAAATAAACTATCTTTGTTCAAATGATTAAAATACACAGATGTGTTGACCTAGCAAAATACACTTCTTACTGCTTACCTTTCTCTTTATCAAGTGGTGGGAGGATGCTGTTATCTTGGCACACTTTGAAGTAAATCTCTTGCTCAGAGCCTTCAGGAAGTGCTCCTTTTGGTACAAAAATACTGACACCTATAATCAAAGAAAGATTCTCTTAACTTTATTCACAGTTTATACAGTAATGCAAACAAATGAAAAATGATTTGCAAATCAAACTGTACCAGGTCTCCCAAAGAATAATGGGAGAAAAAGAAAAATGCCAGACAAGTTATAACACTTTACTCAATTAAAAATGTTCAAATGAATTGGAAGAACATTTGATGTGTCATATCATTGTGTAAACATACAACATAATCCTCACCCAGATTTCCACCAACTGGCCAGGGAATCCCCTACATTGAATCTCTTTTCTCATTCACATCAATATACACCAAAAACTGGGAAAGGCTCATTGCATGTTCACAAAAACTGATTGATTTGTTTAATGGCATATCAACTCCTAATGGGTCATTTATTGCTGAAATTTAATTTTCTTGAGAGCTTTGAAGTAATAAAAATAAGATATGTTATTCTGCTTTCATAAGTGAATACATGGTAGATGATACTCAGCTTTTGTGCATATACATGCTTGTGCAGACATAATTACTAGAGGCGGTGATATGTGTGTTTTATGTTGAAATTTTGTTGAAGTTATATTTTGGAATACAGTTTGATTTCTTTAAGAAATTGTAGAATATTATATGAATTAATGTCAAGAAAGAGTTCTTTCATGTTGGTTGTTTGGTTGATTTTATTTATCAACATATCAACCTCTATGGGTTTATTTAATGTTAAAATCTAAATATTTTGAATGCAGTTGTATGCTTTCAGCTACAGATAAAATGTATTGTTGGTAATTTTTTATACAAAAATGTATTGCCAGTATTTTTATACTTTCATATTTTGTTTGGGGGGGTTGACTATTTGCCCATAGCTGGGACCCTAACAGGTGTTACTACACCGGGTCAGGTAGACCTGGGAACAACAGCAATTAAGACATGGTTTCACACTCCTCAAAACCTCCAATCTTCCGATCAGAGGTCATGATACCAGATGTGTTCACAAGAAAACAATTGATGAAAACAAACACCACATTGAGAACCTAAATCCTGTTTCCAATATAAAATAGGTGTTTTTTATTCAGGGTTTTGCTTGCTTGGTATGGGTGGGTAGATAGGTGACACTTGGGATAACTTCTGCCATGTCAATCTAACAGCTCAGCTCTTTACTCATCTGCTCATCTACGATGTGTGGCTGGCAATATGAACAGGCAGCATTGGAACTGAACAAGAGACCATTTGTTCCCTGCCAAGTGTGGACCATAACTGACACTCCTTGATCCCAACCATGGTTGTTTTCCTTTACCTAGTTCTTCTCTTGTTTCTCTTTGGTCAAGTGGATGATGCCCAAAAAACCCAAGTTAAAAAATCCTCCATCTGTCACATCATAAAATAGAAACACTGCAGTTTGGGATAAGATCACACTTGCCTCTTCTAAGTGGATGTCTCAACTATAGTGTCAGAATTGTAATACAGATGATCACTCCTTTTCACCTCAGTCTGACAAGATGTAAGAAAAGTCAACACCTTCTCCTCTTCAGAACACCTTTCAAAATGCATGATTTGTGTAATGTCATGTAAGCTGCCCACAATTCTTCCCAGGTTTTACCAAGAATATGGATTACACAAACTGTAGTTGTTGACTGTTTTTCCTCATAGTGTTTCTTCTATCAAGCATCATAAACTGTGATTTAAATGTTTGTTTTATTTTACCCACAAAATTGTCATACACTTAGCCTTGCCCTAAATAATGCCTTGGCTTGATGGTGGGATGATTATTAAGATGAAGATAATAGTTTTTAGTTAAAGGTAAGGAAAAAGATAGGCATGTAAACTGAGCTGTTTACACCTAATTCCATAGTTCTGAGGTTATTACAGCTGTCATCTCAATCCAAATAGTTTTCTTTTCGTGTTCGTATCATTCATGTATTTGAAAATCTACAGCAAGTCTGCACAAAATATGGCCTGTGTGGGCTGCATGTGGCCTGTGAGACTGCCCAACGTGGTTTGTGAGGGGTTTTCAAAATAGTAAAATTTTTTGGCTAATCAGAATATATTCAGTGACTGACTGATTATGTACAAACATTTCAGAATCCTTTTAACTTTCCCTAGAAATAGAAAAAAAAGAAATTTTCTCCCCATCTTTCTCTAGATCTGTTTCATTAATTTGCTCTGTAAATTTGTTATTGCAGTGCATAGCTAATTTTCTGTGATCAATATGGCACTTCACATTTTTTAATTGTGCAGGGCTACAGATTAATTTAGTTACTATGCTATCAGTCCAATGTTATGTGTTATCAGAGAAGCATCCTCTTGAGAGTTGGTTCCACAAAGTAGCAGTACATTTGAAGAAGCTGTTCAAATGGAACTTACATCTCACCAAAGAAATATGAAGGGAATGAAGCTGGATCATTACAATGTGTGAACAATGGTGGGTCTTAGCTGTGAAAATAAGAACTGATAGAAATAAGCAATGTATTTTGTTTGAACACTTTTCATGGAAATAGTGATAGAGCAGCAAGCAGCTTGCAAGGTTTCATCTCTGGGAAAGTGGCTGTAGGGTGGAAAATATCCATCAAAGTCTAGAGTTGGAGGAACTATGGCCAAGTGGACTGAATGTCCAAATATTGCTCCATTTTAATGAGATTTTCTTTATTTCTGAGATTGAATCCATGATTTCCAAATGCTAATATCATTTATTGAATAAAATCAATTTTCTAAACAGATTCATATACTTTATCCTTTCTGTAAATGCATGAAACAAAACTGTTTTTTTTTTAGTTTTTTTTTTAAAGTCCTCTTTATTTTTGTGAAAAAAATGTTCAATTTAAGTATTTGATAGTCCACATTGTCAAACCTCTTAGGATGAGAACTAGTTTATCCCCAATCACATTATAGGTATTTTTTTTTTTTTGATAACCTCAGGGTCAAGAACGCTTGATCATGGCATCAGATATAATACTATATACTCAAGACAGGCTCATTATCCAGTCACTGACATAGTGATTCCTCTACCCATGTTGCACTTATAATAATATCTGAAGATGTCAGAGTTGAAAACATTGTAAGCTCAAGCTGGCCACCTATCACACAAGCCAATGTTAACAAATTCCTGGGATTTGAAGTTTTGATTCATTTATTTGAGGAACTCTTGGTGGAATTTAGTATCTGTTCTGCTTGCATCTAACACTGTCCACTGGTATCTACCTGGGTCTCACCTTTGTACAATTACTCATTGTGTGTGTGTGTATGACTCTGTATGCCAGCTGTCATCAATGATGTATTCAGCCATTAATTTACACTTTTTTTTAAAAAGTCTTTCTTGGAAAGCACATGGCGCCAGTTGCCAAGTACAAATAACCTAATTTCTGATACTCTTCCTATAAAACTACTGACAAATATATTTCTATAAAGATAAACAAAACCACATGGCCTATTGGTTGACTGACTTAGTTTCTGCAAAGCCATTTTTCCAAAATTATTCTGCTTCAAGGCACAAACAAATCCAATAGATGAGTTTTGATGTAACTACTTAAGAGTTGTAAACAACTTAATCTCAAGGATTTTTAGAAATAGTTTTTTTTTTAATTTTGGTGAAAGAAGTGATTTATGATATTAATTTTGCTTACCTTGGCAAGTACAACAGGTGGGTACATGGCTGTAAATAGTTATACTAAGTTAATATTCAGGTTAAATTCCTCAAGAACCCATCTCATTTCTTTAAATTAATTAAATTTCTTAATTGGCTATTTTTTCACATTTTATTTCAATACTTATGTAAATAAAGGAACCTTTCTCTCACATTCCTCCCCCAGTTTTGTTCCATTCTATACACCCAGGTTCTTCACCAACTGCTATCAAGTCTCCTTAGGGATCTACCTACTCTGTATAAGTGGTCCCCTACTCACCTTGTCACAGATACACTATTGAAAATTTATTTTTTTTGGAAATAATGAAGAACATGAAAAACTTACCGGTGGCTTTAGATTCTAAAACACCACCCTCATAACCAAAAACCCCTTTGGCTGTGGCTACTACAGTGTGCCGAGTATCCAATTCTCTGAAAGAGAAACAGAAATTGAATTGGAAATCAAAATCACTTCAATGTGAAAAGAAAAAAAAAAGAAAAGAAAAAACTGTATGTAGTTGTTAAAATAGAGTTTCTGTTAAAGATAAAATTCAACAATCCAAAATATTGCTTTGCCAGTTCTTCAAGAATCTTAATTTTCAACTAAACACAGCAATCCTTTATTAACTAAAATTCTATCGGACAAAATGCATTATGTAGATCCAAAGAGAAAGAAATAAAATTTGTGTGCTATTTCTTCATGCTATAAACTTAATTTTCCAGTCAGTGAAAGAATTACAATTAAATTAATTTGGTGTATTTTCAATTCTTAAGAGAAATGAAACATGGAATATTTTCTCATGAGTAGTAGAACTTGGAAATATGACAAGCTTTTTAAAATATTTGATTCAATAAAATTCATTTTTGAGAAGTTAATTTTTTAACTTAAAAATTTGCACTGAAATAAAAAAAAAAAAAAAAAATCAACCAAAGCCATTAAAAAAAAATACAATACAAAAAACCCAAAAAAACTTGAAAACAGAATACCCAATAATCAACTCATTTCTCCCCCACCTCAAGATTAGTGTTCTCTTGTAAAACCATCAACATAAAGACATAAAAAGGCATTACTGAAAGAAGAGATTTTTAAAAGCAAGTCGAATTTGCTAGTTCTGTTTATATAAACTTTATATAAAAAAAGCATACAAAACACCTAAACAACCCGAGAGAAATTATTTAAAAGTTAAAAGAAAATTTGGCATTCATAAACTATAAATGGTTAGATACGTGCAAACATGCATGCTCAAGTGAAAAGGAATTTTGCTAGTTAGGGGAATACATCAATATTTGGCTTTTATTAGAAAGGCTGTTAAATTGAAAACTTATCATCAATGTAATATTTTTTTTTTTTTCAACAAGAAATTTTATTGCAAGTCGATATTTATCAAGCATTGAACAGTAATTAAAGATGAAGGATTTTTGTTCTATTTCTTCCATAAAATACAACAGAAGGAAAGTTAGAAATTATTCTTTGTAACATGTTTGTGTCAAAAGGTTTGATAACGAAAATAGGGAAATTATTTAATAATTATTGTTTATAAATTTTATTACAGGCTAGAGTTTAACTCATTAATGTACACCATATAATCTGGTATTACTTATAACTTGAGAAAGCAAAGAAAAAAGAGAGAAAGGAAAGAAAAAAGAAAAGGAAAGAAAAAAGAAAAGGAAAGAAAAAAGAAAAGGAAAGAAAAAAGAAAAGGAAAGAAAAAAAGAAAAAAAAAAAGAAAAGGAAAGAAAAAAAGAGAGAAAGGAAAGAAAAAAAGAGAGAAAAAAAAGGAAAAAAGAAAAAGAAAAAATATGGTATTAATTACAGGTTTCAAAAAAAAAAAATAAAGTTTTATCTAACAAAAGTAAAGAAAAAAGAAAAGGAAAGAAAAAGAAAAAGAAAGAAAAGGAAAAAAGAAAAAATATGGTATTAATTACAGGTTTCAAAAAAATAAAAAATAAAAAAAAATAAAAAAATGAATTAATTATAAGTTTTATCTAACCCACTAAAGCTGACTGTCCCCAAAATGGGTTAAATGGTAATTTTACTCAAATAATAATGGGTGACCACATCCATTACTATTAGAATAAAACAGTGAACAATAGATTTTTCAATACTAATTTATTTCTGAAGCCTGATATAATTTTGGATAATGGCAGAAATCAAGAAATTTATAAAGTTTCGAGAAAGACAGAAGTTTCCTTTCATCAGCAGCCAATGGGAGCCTGATGAGATAAATGATGGGAAACCATAGATAATGCCAATATTCATCATAGATTCTGAGTGTATAAAATAGTTTAAAAGATGGAAATGCTGGTCAGTTTATATTTTTAAATTAATTTTAAGTAGAAAATCAGAAAAAACTGACAACACAAATGGAAACTCATTAATGTCAGAGGAAGAAGAAAATATCAGTGTTAATATTTCAAATATATTAAGGCAAAAGGAAGACAAAGGTTTTATGCTTTCAGTCCTTCATCGGGTTTCTAAATTTCAGTTTGTGGCACCATTTTACATTAATTTTTCTGAAAAGTTTACAAATCTATAAATTACTTGATAATTTAACTAAATTTAATTTAATTACATCTTCACATAAAAAATACTATTTCAAACATACCACTTCCCCCAAATCAAGTTATGATCAAGTTTAGTGTCTGAAATAATTTTCACATTAAATTACATTCCATACTGTTTTTACATAGCCTCATATTCTGAACACCTACCTTTTTTTTTCATGAATATAAAATGTAGTAAAATTTCTGTAACCAATACTTATAATTTGTAAACTTTGTGTATTCTCATAAACTGAATATACATTTTTTTATAAATAAAACTGAAATATAATTCAACATTTGTGATCAATAAGACTTACAATTTATGAAAATGAAAACAATTTAAATAAAAAGAATTCTTTAGGTACTGAAGGTGTGCATTAGAAATAAGATAGAATTCAAAATGCACTAGAAATTATTTCATCTAAATCATAATTACTGCATAATTTCTGTAAACACACACAGAAATATTTATTTTACAATGATTTTCCAAAGTTTAGTCATGCCCATAATATGAGGTTAGGTCATTCAGTATTTGGTATATGAAAACTGGTTCAAATACTAAACTCAACATTACATAATAGGTATATTGCATTCCTGAGTTTTATGGGAATTAGAGATGAAAGAAGTTAAAAAAAATAAATAAATAAATAAATAAAAAAATAAAAAAGAATAAATTTTTAAAAGCAAGGCACAGCACAGCCACTTGAAATTGGGATCTCATTCCATGCAACACTTGATTGGAGTTGTTTTCTTTGATGCAAGCTATTTAATCAATCAAATCCACCTAATTAATCAATATTCAACAGACGTAGCCTTATGTATTTAATGTTAAGTTTGAACAAATCTTAAGAATAACATTCTATTTATTTCTGTATTAATTCTATATATATATATATATATATATATATATATATATATATATATATATACACATACATACATACATACATACATACATACACACACAAGTAAAGACAATTCTTAAAAATCCATTTTGGTTAAAATTTATTTCATGAATATATTCATCTTCTCAGGCCTAAGTTATTTTAGAAAAATAAAAAATGTACCTACATGAATAAGGTATATTTAGGCAGTAAAGTATTCATCTAGACAAGTTTGATTAAAAAGGACTGATAACATTTGTTTAATTTTTTTTTATTATATTTTTCTAATTTTCAGATAAAGTGTTGAGTATTGTGTCTGAAGTTGTGGGTAAACTGTCTGAAGTTCATATTTTGCTATTTTATTCAGGAACTTTCGTGTGGCTTTGTCCCCAATAGCCATAACACCTGATGTCATGCTAGATCATTTCAAACTTCCCAAAAAACACTAGGATGTAGACAAAGGAATTTTAATTATCACACAGACACCAACTTGGTTCTTGATAATGACTGCAATAGTCAAAAATACTTGAACAAAACAATAACAAAATATGAACTTTGGACAGTTTATCTATAACTTTGAGCACAATGCTCAACACCTTACCTGAAAATCGGAAATTGTGTGTGCATGTGTGAATTATGTCTACTGGTCTGCATATTTGAGAGACTTAGTAAAGAAAATGTATTCTCTGGCAAGGTTTGAACCTGCATCCTCTTTTGCAGAAATCACTGTATGATCTAGCATGCTTTTGACCGCAGAGAACATGCCAAATCAGTTGGTGGGTTCTCCTACAAAAGGTGGACTCTGGTTCAAACTCTGCCAGAGAGCAAATTTTCTTTATTAAGTCTCCCAAATGCTGTAGATGTAATCCTATATATTGTAGATGCACTCCATTATATGTGTGTCAGACTAATAATGGGTAAGTGAATGACAAGATGGAAAAATATTTTAGTGATGTGTTTCATTCTGAGAAGAAACTTCTTCATACTAATAACAGTCTTATAAGACAGAGGTTGGAAAAGAGGGAGGAAGAAATACAAGTGTCAGTTATAGCTTATATTGAAACAATAAAGATACAGTGGCACTTGGATGCTTAAAATTTGATACCTGAAATGTCTAGATGTTTTTCTTGCTCTTTCTAGTTTTATTTTATTTATTACTTTTTATTGCTTTTATTTTTAGCATTAATTGTTTTTAATTATATCACTTTGTATTAGTTGCAATTTTGTGAGGAAGGGAAATATTGTATGATACTGGATGTGAATTTACCAGAGTGGATTCTGAAATTAGTACACTTTCAATACAATTTTGTGTAAATAAATTACTCTCACTTTTAATCAAAATATATCTGAATATAAAGCAAAAACAAAAAATCTCCATCTTGCTATATTCTTGTGGGTCAAAAACTATGTCATCATTTGTCTACAATGATTTTAAATCCTCTCAGGATCTGACAATATTTTTTAGAATTTACAAAATGATCTATTCTAAATTTGATTAAAAAAAAATGGCAATTTTCTTAAAAAATAGCTTAATCTTAAAATTATATATTTCAGAGTAATTTTATATAGTTAAAATTCAAATTTAAAAAAATTTCATATCATCTTCAAATACTTCTACAAAAGATTTTGATTTCAAAAGTGTGTGTGTGTTTGTTTTATATATATATATATATATATATATATATATATATGTGTGTGTGTGTGTGTGTGTGTGTGTGGCAAAGTGCAATACTGTTCTTGATATATATATATATATGTATGTGTGTGTGTGTGTGTGTGCTTATGTTGTAAGAAAAAAAAAAGAGAGCGCTACTAAAATAGCAGAGCATTATATTATAATCATAATATATTTCAGTGTACTTTTGACTGATAACTATCAATAGTTTCATACATGGTGGTACTCACTGGGTTTAGTTGGTGTCTGCATCTTATAAATATGCCAATGCTTCTCAGTGTAACATCTTGAGCCAGCCAAGCCAATGTAGTATAAAATCTAAAATACCAGTATCACCGATTTACCTGAGAATTGCATATACCACCATGTACAATCATTGGTAATGGTCAGTTAAAAGTATGCTGGAACATATTATTAGATTACACACACAAAAAAAAAAAAAAAAAAAAACTTTATAATTGTAATAAGATTCACAATTAAAATTTAACTGCCTTCTATATATAAAATTCTGTGATTTCCATTAGTTTGCCCATTACACTTGTTAAAATAGCAATACATTAACTGATTGAAACCAAATTTTAGGGAGAAATGCAAACAGGTAAAGGGGGTACAAAGTACAGTTGGTTATACTAGGGTGCGTAGCGTAGTACAATAAATTTTCATTAATTTAAAAAATAAAATTAAGTTTTATTATTTAACAAAAATTTAACAAAAAAATTCTCCCACTATTTAAAAAAAAAAAACAATGCTAAAAAATAACAAATACTTATTTAATAAAAATTTAATATTGTTTTTTGCATATAACGAAATTGAACAAAACCTAGAGTTTGTAAATCTCGTCAAAAATGTTAGCTTTAACTTCAACAATACTAAATACTGTGAGGATTTTAACACGCGTCAGCATGTTGCAAAAAAAAAAAAATTCTAGTTTCCTAAAATGTTGGTAATTCAGGAAATATATGATAGTCTTAAATCTTACAGCAATGCACACTTCATTTAATTGACAAAATATTTCAAAAGAAAACAAATGAAGACTACAGTTTCATATCAAAACAAATCTACAAAAAAGAAAAGAAAAAAAGAAGCCATGCAAAAGGATCATGCCAAGCAAACATGTTGAATATTTAAAAGAAACAAAGAAGCAAATAGCAGGCAGGCAGCAAGCAGTTGTATCTTACCCATCAATCACCGTGTCTGGGGTAGATGCACTGCCAGATGAGGGGACAGGGGAAGACAGCCTTTCCTGTTCAGTTACCCCCTCCCCAGTAACAGCATCAGTAGAAAGGGCAGGTGTCTCAGGAAAGTCAGTGGCAGATACAATTGTCTTGTCATTCTCATCATCCTCCATCATTTCCAGAACTGACAATTCTGTCAGGGTAGAGTCAAGGTCAGCTTGAATTTGGGACAAGACCTCTTCCATGGACAGATTGCCACTGTCAGGAGGGGAAGAGTTTTTGTGGGTGAGTGAGACAGCCAACATCACCATGTGGTTAACAAAGCAGAGCACAGTAGGATTTTCTTATGTTAAACATTTAAAATTCAGAGCAGAATTTCATAGTGGCAAAGAAAGGAGGCAATTAGAAATCATTATTGTGAGAGTTTAACACTTTCACGATCAGAACGTTGGAAGCTGCTGAAAATTTACATCATGAAATAGTTAAATATGTAGAAACGAAAAAAGTTACGTTTACTGCCTGATTTTAAAACTGGTCCATAGCTAAAATTATTTTCCAAGTCTATAATAATTATTTTCATTATGCAGATTATGTCATTAGCAACAAAAATATAAATAAAACAAGAATCCTTTCAGGATTTATTTTCAGATGCTCTTAGGTTGGGTTGTGAAAAAGAAAAAAAAAATTAGTATTTTATTTACTTTAAGAAGGTAAATTTAAATCAAAATAAAGTTAAGATTACTGAAGATCATTAAATTATACAAAAAGATTTTTTAAATGTTTTTAGCTCTTTTGTATAAAAAAAAATCAAAAATGTAGTAAAGTGGCAAAAATGCAACCAAAGAAATTTTGATAATATTTTAAATTCTTATTGCCACTATAGTCTTTCATTAGAGGCTAACTTTTGAACACTTCAAGCAATTCTGAACATGAAAAATGTTAAAATTTGGCCTTTCTTGCCCAAGTAACAAAAAGCTGATCATTGATTCTATTATTAACACACTCTGCCAAATCTAAAAAATAATTTCCCCAAATATTTTCTGGAACTTTCACTAGAATTTAATTTACAGGGTAAATTATTGAATTTCAAAAAGGCAGTTAAAAATAATTAATCCCAAACATTTTGACACTATTAACACAGTGTCTTCATTCACTAGCTTCTTAAGCCATTAAATTCAATCCATTTAATTATCTTGCCATTCTCATTAAAAGATGCAAAATAATGGGACACTTATTCTGCTCTTATCAAATAATGACATTTACATAGTCAATTTATTCTCTTGTAATAGAGTTGTTTTATGTTCTAAATCTTCATTGAGAGACAATTACAAGAGTACTCAATATTTCCAAAGATTTAGTCGATTAAACAAAAATGTTCAGCATTTAAAACATTAAAAAAGTCACTGTAATTGATTGCTGTTATTGATGTTGATTCACATCCCGAAAAGATTAAGAATTATTCAAGTCTATGGAATATTTTAGTTTGTAAAAATAACTTTAATTATTACAAATTCATTAGGGACCTTTCAATTTATTTGTCACAAATTAAACTAAAAAATGATACCCAATTTTTCTCAAATGTCTTTTAGTCTAGCAAAAGTTCTCCATGTTCAAACTTAAAATAAAATTGCAACCATTAAAACATTATTTTTCGATTTTTTTCTTTTTTTTAGCTTCTTCTCAATGAGATAAACCATGTTCTTTGGACATTTATTTACAGAGAAAAAAAATCTATAAACTTTTGTCTACATATTTATGATTATATAATATTAATAGAATTTTAAGCAAGAAATTACCTGCAAAATGTGTTTTTTTTTCATAGATAAAAAGCTGCTGTGAATAAACATTAATTGCAGCAAGCAAAGATTTACAAACATTGTTAGAGTGAGACCTCAAATTGAGGAATTATTTACCATCCACAAACAGAAAGTAGGCAAAATGCACCACAACCATTTTAGAAGTGCAAAGACAACAAAAGCTACCAAAGGAAAAAGTGACAATTAAATAATTTACAAAACATCAAGGCAATAGAACACACACACACACACGCACGGGCAGCCTATTCCCATGTCATTGTTGAAGGAAACAAAAATAAATAAGCAGCTTGTGCTTCAATTTCTACCATATTGCAATTTCTTTTCTGATTAAAAAAAAAAAAGCAAACACTAAAAATTTTCCCACATCATGGAAAACTAATCTATATAAGATATTTTTAGCCATTAGAATTACATTTGTACTTGTGAACAAAACTATGTTTGGATGTAGAAGAAAAGAGGAAACATTCTATTTAAAAGGAGTGGGATGAATATTTAAAAAAAACAAAAAAAAACATTCAAGGAGATTTTTTTTAAAAATATTTTCAAGTTTAATTTTAATGATTAGATTCTAATTTAATCAGTAATGCCATAAATCATTCTCTTCATAAATTTGATGAGTAAGAAATGAATCTTCCATGTTGGTCACTCGTTGTTGACAAACAAGAGGTCAACATTGAAGATCTTCAAATCAGTAGACTTGAATGTTACATGTACTTATGTTCCAAAATGTTGAAGAACGGCAAATGGATTATTTTACACTTCTAAAAAGATGGTAAAGACAGTAAAACTGGGTTGCCTATTTTGTCATGCAACAGAGAATCACAAAATGGTAATTTCAAGATCTATAGTTACAAAATGAAATAATAAAATAAAATTTGGCAAGATACAAAAAACTTAACTCATTAAATTAGAAAAATGATTATTTCACATTAATTTTTTGCAATACTGAAAAGAATCCAAACAGAATAAAACAATGTAATAGTTTAAGAAATAAAAATCACCAATGAACATAAAATTTAGAGAAAATGTTTTTGTTGTTTTAGCTCTCTACTTATATCAACACTAATCAGGTCAGTTTGTATATTTTGGTGTGCTTATTTGCCAATCTAGAAAAATAAGTTGACATTTTAATAATGATCAGTATAAAATGGATCTAGCATCAGCTGGTGTATAATTCATTAAATTTTATCTACTTAAGGATTCAAAAGGTAACAGATTCTATTAGGAAACTTGGTTCAGTTTAGACATTACTGATACCAAAGATGCAGCAATGTTGTAGTCATCCTCTTAGTAATTTTGGGATCTTACTTTTCTTTCTGATACATTTAGCTGAAAAGAACAAGTTAAAACAACTAGTAAGCATTTTTAACAGTAAAGTCAAATTTTCATAAACTGTCTCATGGAACCATCTGTTTCATCTTCAAACAAGATTTCTGGACAACTATTTCTTTTGACAAATATTTATCATCATCAGTTTTTGTTACCTTCCTGTAAAGCATAAAGCTTTTTTTTTTCTTCTCTTTTTTTTTTTTTTTTTTAAAACCACACAGACTACTGTTGTCAGTCCCACACTTAATTCTTCCTCTTTTAACTGGACTTGGGATTTCTGGTGTCTCTTCCCACCTCTTAGTTTGATTACCTTTACATAGCTAAAGAACTCTAACTGCCATGGTATTTACCTCAACCTGGGTGTGATTAAATGAATTTATGAATTTTCCAAGGATATTAATATGAAGCAAGCACTTCTGACTTACACAAACTTGGATGACAGTTTTCCACACCAATAAATATTATATCTTCTTGACAAATATTAAGACAAACACAATTTTGATTAATCAACACTTAATTCCATAAGCTTGAATTTTTATATAAATATGATAAAACACTGAAAGTAGATTATTATTTATGATTTGAATGTCTTAAATCAACTTGTCATGAAATGCTTTTTAAAGAATTGACAATTTTATTTATTTACATTATATTCAACCCCATAAAGTAGCTATTGATTAAATACAATTTCATGTTAGGTATGATTTTGAGGATAAATTTTATTTGAATATATAAAATCAACCCTAATGGTCCCTTCTCCCCACAAACAGGGGAGGGGCTGGGAAATAAAGGAAATGGCCAGTTTTAACCAAATTATTCATAACCAAAAACTTCTATTAAAAAGAATAAATTTGAACATTAAGAAAAAAAAAATGCAAGCAAACAATGAGTTTTAATCATTTAACTTTCATTGAAATAATTTAAGAAGAGACGAAGAAATTAAAATTTATTTACCTTTCAAGCTTTTCATGGTCTGTTTCCATCTTGTTCACTGAACCATTTGGCTCTGTGTGCCCAAAAGTAGTCATCATATTGCCTGAACTTGTTTTTCTGTATGATTCAAAAGCACTATCATGACCCTTGTCTTTTATGGGGACAGTTTCAGCAGTTGGATTTACAATCACTTCTCTGAAACACAGATAAATATATTAATATTGAAATATTTTTATTTAACAAAAATAAGTAAATATTACATAACTTGTTTTTTATATATATATATATATATATATATATATATATATATATATATATATTATCAGACATGAATAGAAAATAAACATTTTCAAAATTATTTTGTAATTATTTATAAAAATTCTTTCAATGCTTTCATTGTGCCAATAATATCTATTCTAATGTGCAGGGAATATACTAAAATAGTGATAAACTTGCCATTGCTAAAACTTGAACTGATATTCCGCTTAAATATTTTATAGTATCATTTTTGTTCAAATAAAAAAATTGCTTTACTTCCTTCATTATCTCCCTTGAATTAATAATTTTGCAGCGTATTTGGAAAATAATAACTTCAATAAAAAATAAGATCGAAATATATGATTAGAAGAAAATATCAATTGTAGCAGTTTATATTTTTTGTTACAAAAAAAAAAAAAAAAAAAGAAAGAAAAAAGTTGAATTTTTATGAGTGAAAAATGAGTTTTGAGAAACAATTTAGCCATCACTAAATTGGTATTCTCTCAAATTATTTTGGAATGTTCAAATGATCAACTAAAAATCATTTTATGAAGACTATCTTACTGTAGCAATAAACCTTTGCATTCATACATTAATAAGCAGAGCAAACTTTTTTTTTTAAGAATAGTGAAATAATCTATAAAAAGAAAGCAAAACTTATTACATTAAAATTTGAGAAAAGTATTAAAATAAATTACATTGAGCTGAAGTGTTAACTACGTACACAGCAATCTTAAGCTCAACGCTTTTTGTATGGTTTTACTTTTGTTTAACCGTGACATGAAAAAATTTAATTTTTATTTGGTGAGCAAGATCGAATTTGACTAATTATCTACCTTGGAAAATTGCAACATTTATCTCCCTTAGATAAGCGTAAGGTATCAAGTCATATTTAAATATTTTTTTTAAGTTGCCATAAATTGTAGCATACAAGTCGACCTCAAAATTTTTAGCTCAAATTTCTGAGTTAGGCCTATACCTACTATGTAGGTCAACCCGCAAACATACGATAGGTTACCGGTGGCCCAAAACTTAGTCCTAACGGTAAATGAAGTTAAGTTACACTAACCTGTACCAAAACTACATAAGGTCACACCACTTACCTGTATATTGAGACACTAACCATATCTTTTTATATGCATTGTATAGCAAACAACCTATAACACACACCTGTAGGTACCATATGTTGTATCAGTATAACTTAACGAACATTTAAAATTCGTCACTTAATAGAATACTGAATTTGTGTGATTATTTTATTATCTTATATTAATATGCCAAATATATTCACCAAATACAATTTTTAACGGGATATATTTGTGGCAGACTGCTGGAAGTACAGTAAGTGGTGTACAGTAATTGTTAGGAGTGCTATCCCACTTGTTTACAATTTGGTGGTAAAGGTTTTTTTTTTTTTTTTTTTTTAAATCAAGCCCTAGTTTTAGAATGATTTTTTAGGCTTGAAAACTTGACTTGTATACCACAATTTAAATCTGCAAATTCTAGATTTAATGCTAGTCCTGGATAATTTTTGTCTTTAAAAACAAAAACTCTTTAGCTTTTTAATCTTTTGCTTCTCTATTTAGCAATATGTCAAATAAAGCCTTTTTTAAATGTCATGCCCCTTCAGGACATCATAATTTTCCACAGATTCCTTTTGTTTATTATCTGTGAATTGCTATGAATTTTTGGGAAAGTTAATTTGTTCTTATTAATTTATCCATGATGTTGAATCCTAAACAGTCATTCTCCTAGACTGGCTACCAACCGAGGCTAGAGAGCTCAATTATTTAACCCATAGCTGGGAGGAGAGAAGAAATGAATTCATGCATCTCTCAAGACAACCATTACACCATCCACACTTCAAAATAAAACTCTTATTAAAGCAATCTATAACAAGTTTTTCTATGTTGCTATATAATTATTATAAAAAAAACAAACTAAAAACAAATTTTAACCATCCCAAGTTTTAATTATATAAAAAATGAAAAAAAAAAAATGAAATAAAAAAAATAAAAAATAAAAATGTATTTTTTTTCTGAAGGTCTTTTATCAAATATTATAAAACTCTAGTCTACCAATTTATTTTCTGTGAAAAAAAAGGAAGAGGGAAATGTAATTAATTATAACAATTTACTAAGCTTAGTTTAGCAAAAGAGCAAAGTAGTTGGGCACTCTGTGAGGAACAAACACTTCACTAGTGAATTAAGATTCAAGATAAGCCTGCTAAACATTGTGTAGCAGTAAATAATCTCAAATTTAGTTAGGTTTCTAGTAAATTAATAGTTACATAAAATTTTCATTATTTTGTACCCAAAATATTTCAAAAGAAACAAATACTAATTCTAGGCAAGTTACTTGAGCTTCCTTTTAATCTCAAGGCTAAAAACTCAATTGTCATATCTTGTGACAATTCTTTTGAGATGTCACATTTAGTTTCCTATAAAATAGAGAAAAAAAATGTTTATTTTTTGTTAGTAGGTAAAAATTATCAGTAAGGTAGGAAAATAATTCCATGTAGCAAACAAAGAAGCATAAGTTAATTAAAATGTTGCTAAAATGCTAAAAAAGAAAAATATATATATATATATGTGTGTGTGTGTGTGCATATATATATATATATATATATATATATATATGGCCTGAAGATTCCACTCAAGGATGAAACAGAATGTTGCTGCTTAGTGTTGACTTCTATGTCAACTTATATAAAATTTGTCACTTAGCTAATTAATGCTATATTCAGCACCTTCACATTGGAGTTTGAGATTAACCATTTTGTAATTGTAAATGTCAGGCAATTTCAGCAATTGCAGTTTTTCTCATTTTTGCTATTGTTATACTATGTTAAAATATATATATATATATATATATATATATATATATATATATATATATAATGAATGCATGTATTCATACTGTAGCTTTTTTTTATAAGCGTTTAAATTAAATATTATTTTCTTCATGTGCATATAAAAATATGACATACAATATTTAAAACGGACATTTTTTTTTTTAATAAGGAACATTTTACTAAAATGGAGACAATCAAAAAGTCTACAGAATGCTAGTTTCATGCATCTGAATAATATAAAAGCAGTACACATCTTCAGTGACATTGATTTTCAACAAATGGTTTCTACAGAACCATGATTCTTTCACGAATGAAGGTGATGGATGGCTTAAGTAATTATCTTTATTGCATGCTCAACTTTCTTTAAGACATGCCATTCTCACACGGCAATTCTGCTGTGAAATTCATCACTAAACACTTCTAGTATTCATGACAATATTTGAAAAGATTTTCTAGTTTTGCACATGATTTCATAATGTGAAATATCCAAACAAAGTACATAAGAGGGAATATGTGCAAAACCAGTAGTCTTAAAACAACTGGAAAAAAAAAAATCTAAGAAAAAAAATGGTGACCTGCTATACATGCCATTGTTATGCAGTCAACTAGGGTTAAATTTCTGACACGGTTTTCAGTTGCCCAATCTGTTACTGAAAGGTGTGTGCAACAGAGATAAATTTTATGCAATCTAAAATTTAATGAACAACTTAAAGGTGTCTTTTATACTACTCAGATCCACTAAACAATTAGTTTGTGAACTTTTTGATCATACCTTGTATATATAGATACAGACAAAAAAAAGAGAGTGTGTATGTGTGCGTGTGTGTGTATGTGACTATGTATATTACCGTTCAGGAATGACATCTTTCTTGGATCCATAGAACCCAGGGACGATCAACTTCTTATAAGCCTCAAATGTAGTTTTACCATTAAGAGCAAACTCTGTATTATGCAGGTGGTGTGAAGACATGCTATTTCTCTTTAAACTGTTCATGGTGGTTGAAGAAGGGGCAGCCCAGGACCTTCGCATGGCCAGTTCATGCAAACATTCATCATCTGTCCTGGAATAAGAGGTCATGCAGTGCAGGCATTCCACTAAAACTTCATGCACAGGAAGGAAGGAAGGTAGGTAAGTCAGCATTCAAAAAGGAGCAACAGACAAGGTAAAACAAAACAATGGGATGAAATTAATGAGAAGATCAAGGTGATTATATTTTGATTAAATATCTTTCCTGTTTAATCTCCAAATAGAATATACATGCAGCTAATTTGATGTTGCTCATCTAGACTGGATTACATCCTTTACTTGAAGGGCCAATATTAAATTCATTGGAGTGTTTAACTGAGATAATTTTATTTATAAAAAGTTATTTATAAAAGAGAATTAAACCTAAGATTATTAAATGTGTATTTAAGTAACTAAAAGGCAAACAGATTATTTGATATTGTATCTTGTCTAATAGCTTAATATAAAAAAAATGTCACCATCTTTTTTTTTTTTTTTAAATTAATCTATGCTAAAATCTGTATACATTTGTGTGTATACAAAGTTATCAAAATAAGGAGTTTTTCCTGGGTAGATTGTGAATGAATAGAGTAAAATTTATTACTACGACTTTTTGAAATGCACAGTTCATGGCCAAGATGTATAAATGCAATAATGTACATGAAGAACCATGAAGAATATTTTAGGAGCTAATAATATTTTTATTCAATTAAAATAAATCATTTTTTTTCTATATATTTTTAGAATACAGATTAAGATCTCTTTATAATTTTCAGAAGAATCCTGATCATATCCACTAGTTGTTTAGATGATTTAACTCATTTTAGTGATGATTTTGTTGTGACATTTCATTCAACCCCTTCTACAGCCTATTTTTAAGTGTACAATATTTAAGGAAAGTCTCTTTTCCGAAGAAATAATTGGTAAACAGAAAAGAAATGCTAGATAATATACCATATAGGTTTCAATCTGATGTGATTTTTGTTTTTCTTTTGTTATGAATGAATATAGAATTACCCATATCATAATCATTGCTGAGAATAATATCATCTGTGCAACTTACACTGTTAGGAACAAAATGAACCAGTCACTACATTAGCTACCATTTCTATTCTGTTTGCCAACAACTTCTGTAGAAAAAGAATCATTCTCTTTATGAACTATGCACCTGATGGCAGCTGTAAAACAGACCTTTTGAAATATTCTGGTAACAACATAAGCAACATGAAAGTTTGACTATTTAAACAATTTTTGAAATTTTGAACAATGTTTATATAATTTATACTTGAGATATTATTGATTTTATAGGAATTTTACAGAAATATTTGGAGGAATGAATGGGTTAATGAAGCACCAACAGTTCTGGTTGAATCTAATATAAAAATTATTTCGAATAAAATATGGAGATGATGTTAAAAAAAAAGACAAAATAAATTATCACAACTATCAAGACAGTATTTAACAAATACTGTCTTGAATGCTATACATTGAAAAATATGAAATTATCACATTTATAAATTAAAAATATGAAATTATCACATTTATAAATTAAAAATATGAAATTATCACAACCATCAAGACAGTACTTAAAAAATACTGTGTTGAACGCTATATATAGAATCCATAGCACTGATTTTCTTGGGAGGGGGGATATCTTTATAAAAAAAAAAAATTTATTTTATAGATTTCTTTGAAATGGTGAAATTTTGATCAAGTGATCCAATTTTTTTTTTTTTTTTACTTCATGATTAAAAAAAAAAAAAGAAAAAACTTATTCAAGAATAATTTAAGACTTCATTGGGTTGGCCAAAAAGTTCATTTGGTTTATTAAAAACAAAACAAAAAATGTTTGTAACAATTTTATTGAACACCACATTTACCATTTTGCTTCACTTTTCTACCAATTTCTGACCAACTTCATAATTCCATCCTTCCAAAACATTTTAATTTTCTCAGCAAACACTACATTAAAAGGAATGCAGCAGATCAGCGAACACATCCCAGCCAAACTGAAATAATTTTTGTCTTGTCACCTAAGAATCATGGGGTGGAGGAGTATTATCATGATGACATTTTAAGCTTGTTCCTCTTAAACTCATTCTGGGCACTTTTTGTTGATTAATCCTGTTTGGCTATCCAGAAGAAACTCATAGCAGAGAATTCTATTTTAAATCCCAATATATACACATTATCACCTTCTTTGAATGAAGACTAGCCTTTTGTACAGTTATTGATTGTTCATTTCATTTGTCCAAAGTTCTCTTGTACTTTTTACTCCTGTAAAATTTCTATCTTTCTCCACCTTAATATCTTTCATTTGTTTGCTATCAATCTCAGCTGGTCTACTTGTCCAGTGAACATCATTCAATAAGCCTTCTCCATAAAGTGTTCAATTTTTTTTTGGTTGCTTTTTATTTTTCTTTCAAAAAACAGAAAACATTTTTTCATTCCATTTTCACAAATTTTAATCTTCATATCTGCAAAAAAATGGTGTGTCAAAAGGATGGTTATTACCCTGACACCACTACTGCTTTTCACTCCCTCAGCAATATTTATTTACAAGTTTATAAAAATATGTGAACCAAGTACAATGTGATATTTATTATTTACCTTTTATAAATATTTATTATTTACCATTTTATAAAGAAATATATTTGAAAAGGATTTTTTATTTAAAAATTTATAAAAAGATTACAAAATATGTAAGAGAAACTGATGCTCACAACAAATTTTAGTGAATTTATGTGAAATTAAAAAAAAAACAAAAAAAAACAGAAAATGCATTTTTTCAAATTTTATAATTACAGTTGCTTGTCATTTTGTATTTCATATTTACAGACATTTTTATAAATTTGTGAATAAAAAAATTTCTTTCTATATTTATTTCTTTATAAAATGGTAAATAAAAAAATATTTCATTATAGTTCACATATTTTATATTTATATAAATACAAAATTATTCTTGTTAATAAACAATCTAAAAAATAGTGTTTAATATCTTTGTTGTAAATTTCCAAAAATAAAGAAATGTATAAATCCACTTTCATAATTTATTAAAATTTTTAATCATTGCTTTTTAAAAACAATAAAACTTGCCAAGGGTGTCAAAAGTGTACACAGAAATAATGGTGTCAAGGGAATAACCATCCTTTTGACACACTGTTTTTTTTTTGCAGGTACAAAGGTTAAACATTGCTCCATTTCCAATGTTAGAACCAATAAAGATATGCCAAATTTGGAAATTTTTTTTCTTTTTAACAAATGTTGATATGACAGCTGGCACAACACAATAAAAATAATTTGTTTTTTTTACAATGATGTAAACATTTACAATGAAATGCTCCTAAATTCCATCTGACTACAGAGAACAAAGCTTTTAGGCCAACCCAATATTTTTTTACAGACAAAATTGACATTAGGTGACCAAAAAACTATCATGAAAAACAAACAATATTCAATGAATAAGAACAGGGCAGAAACAAATTTATTAAGGGAAATTATTTCTGCTGAGTTGAGAGATATATTTCCAATGAAATACTAGCGTATAAATGCCTTTTGAATAAAACTCTTGATTTTTAACTCTAGTGAGAATGTTTCTTTAATAGAAACTTATTAATTCATTACTAGCTAGAGACAAGAAGAGATGATAATAAAGATAGGTGAAGTAGTAGTCACAAATGAAAACTTTCAAAATTATCTTGTACTATGCAAACATGTGCAATTTATTTGCCATTGACAAGCATTAGATGTTTTAAGGTCAATACATTGACTGTTAGAAAACTGTGCAGTGCAATCTTTGAATCATGTGATTCTAGTTTGGGCAGCAATTTGTAATACACAATACTAGAGTAATTCTGATATGCACATCACTTTTAGTTGAGGAGTTTCCAGTCAAGCTTCATTTGGACATAGCAAGGTATATGATTGCCTTCAGTCATAAGAGAGAGCCTATTTCTTATTAGTGGTCAATAACCAATTCAAAAACAGTTAATTCTATTGGTGTGGATAAAAAATAAAAATATTGGTAATGGTATTATTAACCGTTTCCTTACAAGGAAAAATTTAGCATTCATTGACCAAGAAACTAAAACTGCTTTTGGTTGAAATTTATAAAATCTTTCTCTTAAAATAATTTTTCAGGAAAATAGGTTTTTCAAGTTCAGTAGCTATCACTGCTCTTTCCAGTATTGATGGAGGTTTCTTTTCTAAGTTTTTGTTTGAAGTAGGATGGAATGTCAACATCGCTTTTCTTCAGAGTTTGTAGGAGAGTAATTTTCTTAATGTGTATTACTTTTTGGTGGACTGTAGGTGCAGATTCAGACTTTCATCATCTTTGTTGAACCTATCATCTGACATGTCTAAAGCTGAATAGATTCACTGCCAACTCTTAGTTCTTCATCATCAATGCTTATACATTGTCCTTTATTGAGTACATCTTGGTAATCATTGTTGATTGAGAAAAAAAAAAAAAAAAACCTGAGGTTTTTGGTTGTTAAGAAATTCAACTTCACCAGAAATGTACACATTCTTCAGACTGCTTTCACTGTTTTTGTTTCAAGTTTAAAATCTCTACAGAAGACAAACTCTGACAATGAAGTTTTGGGGGTGCCATGTTGATTTTGCCATATTTTCATCAAGGCTCCTCTAAAGGTGAGGTGGTAGAAAATGATATACATAGATTTCCTGATGCTAAAAGTGCTTACACACTGTTGATACTGAAAAGGCTCGGATTTTTGAAGTAGATAAGAATAAAAAAAATTTTAGAAACAAAATATGCAAAAACCACACAAACATTTTTGGTCACTTGATAAAAAATAAAATTTATGTTTTCAAAGGAGTTTCAATTTCAACAACACATTAAGTCTTAAAGAGAAAAGTACAGAGGATATTCTTAATGGAAGAGTCACTATTTACGAATACATTTTAGCTGAAAAATAGATCCATATACAGGTAGAGGTCATGTCATGGCTAAATTTATTCAAGAATATTAGGCAAACTGAAAGTTAACCTATTATAGGAAAACCAAATTACAAACCTAGAAAAATAATTTTGGAT